AGTAGAAAATCACTTAACAAAAATTTTTTTTTTTTTACACTGTGTTACATCAACAAAGACTCATCAAAAATGCATCAGAAACTGGCATTTCTGATGAGTCTTTGTTGATGAAACACAGTGTAAAATGAAAAAATAGTTTTTGTTAAGTGATTTTCTACTAATTTATAATAATTATAAATTAGTATTTCTACTAATTCATAATAATTATAAATTAGTAGAAAATTATTGCTCTATTCTTTTAAGAACATCGAGCACTCTATTTTGTAGATTACATTTTTAAAGTTGTTTAAATATATATATATATATATATATATATATATATATATATATATATTATATATATATATATATATATATATATATATATATATATATAATCTTTCAGAAAAAAAAGTTGAGAGAGGGCACGTGCCCCTTGGCCCCCGGCGTCGTTAGCCCTGATAGTTTCACATCTTATCTGTTTCATAGGTAATTTGTCTCTGTAAATTTAACAGGAAGAGTGTGTCTACCTATTACAAATTTTATATTTGTGTTTGCACAAACAACAGATATTTATCTAGAGCACAAAAAACAATTCTGTCAGCAATGTTAGATTTTATTTTATGTTTTTGTAACGGCCAAAAAAGAAGCTCTATCCGGGAGTTTGTCGCTGGGGCTCACCCCAACCCGGTAAAACTTATCAAGTGTTTAAAAATTAATAAAAACAAAAGAATAGTCATAATAAAACTTAAACAAAAAGAATATTTTAAAACATTAAAAATATTTCCGCAGATGTTTTTAAAAGTGCAAGCTCATTTTGTATAATTTAAGAAATTCCACGCTTCTAATGAGTCTCATGGGAGTTTATGATTACAAAAAGTAAACGAACTCGTACTACTACTAAAACTGAAGAGCTGATAATTTGTGAGTTATGCGTTGAAGTGTCTAGACTTTATAAGTGATAACTTTGATACATCAGCAGATAACTAATTTATGTTCAAGTCTTTTCCATTCCAAATTGAATAAATTTTTAAAATTGTTTATTAACTTAAGAGTATGAAGATTAGTGAGTACTTTTCAAGAAAAAAAAGAAGCAAATTAAAACAGTTGCATCTTGCTCTGAATCTGAAAGTTGTAACCTACATGAAAATACTCATGGCAGTTTATTATTTGTTCGATCTGATGATGGAACTGATTGAAATCCTGTTGTTGAGTCGCAATCTTTTTCAGAGCAGACCGGACCTTGAAAAAACCTGTTCAAAGCAGCTATCGTGTCCATTAAAAAAAAGGAATAAAATTTCAACAAAGCTGGAAAAGAAAAACATGAATGGATTTTATATGACTGCAAGAAAGACAAAATGTTTTGTTCAACCTGCATTAAAACTACCTAAATGAAAATGCCTTTACCTCGTCATTCAAGAGAAAAAGACTCGTACGAAACATTAACTAGTTTACTCATTACTAAATTTTTCTTAACATAATAGGAAACGTAAATCCTTGCTAATGATTGAAAAGGGTGAAAACGATTCAAACTTTTGCGTAATACCAAAACTACGAGCAGAAGATTCTCGGGAATTGAAGAAAAGATTGAACTTTCCTGAAAAAAATTGAGGAGCGTTTTACCCAACCAAAAAAATCAAGAGCGAGGCTTTGTTATATTGTTTCATGGAAGTTTTATGTCAATTTAACCAGTTAATAAGATTAACTTATCTTAAGATTGTCTAACTTGTTTGGAAGTATCCATGGAGTGCAGAATTTAATGAGGGGATAAAAAGGGCGTTCATAGAACCAAAGATTTTTGTCTTTTTTCAAAGTTTTTAGTACATGCTAGTTATGTAATGAATGGTTTGTTTGATATTTATGATCTTTAGATAAAAAGAAATAATTTTTTGATTAAAACATAAACAAAGAAATAGTAAAAATTTTTAAATACATTTAGATTTAGAACTGAAAGTTCTCTAGGCAGTGGATTAACAGTGGTTTTATCTATTGGTATTTTAAATAAAACAGTTTTCAGTACCTAATATAGCTGTAGATATCATATGAATGGATTTTAAATTTTTCGATATATAAATGTACATTGCAATTTTTTGTTGTAAGTAAAATTTATCGGTCAATAATTGAAAGTTTTTTTTATTTCTTTTTATTCTAATTCACTCCTTACAAGGCTAAAAGCAACCACTATTAAGTTGGGAGTTACAAAAAAAGTTATAGAGCAAGGAAATGGTTGACAGAGGACCAGAAATGTTGTAGATTGTATGAGTCAGGAAAACATAAAGATGGAAAGAGTTTCAATGGGCCAAAGTGCATGGAAACTACAAGCCGGCCTCAGAACCATTAAACTTAGTTTTAGAGCTGTACCCTTATTAGGAGATAACAAAAAGAGTTGCAAGAAGGCCAAGCAAAATCCTATGAGTAAAGTCAAGAAGATCTAGCATTCTTCATCTTAGTAAGTAAGAAGCAATATAACATAGGTTCACATCTGCGCTAGCCTAATAGTTGAAGAAAGGGTTCGAGACTGGTTAGCAGAGTTATTCTGCTTACCCCTAAAGTCTTTGCATAGGAGGCCTCCTACTAGACGTGTACCAGATGGATGCAGTTCACATCTGCCTAAGATGAGTATTTTTATTGAGACGCTATCTATAGCTCTTATTTAACCAAAAACGGGGGAGTTTTTTTGGATGCAGTTAACATTACTCCTAGATGAGTAGTTTTATCAAGACGCTATCTCTAACCTTAAATCAACCAAGAGCCCCAAAGCATGGGATTTTTAGATCGGAGTTTGTTTCCGAGCCTTTGCCTATAAAAGCAAATCCTACAATGCAGCAGGACATGCGGCAAGTAGCACTGGGTTACATGATACCAGTAGCAGGGTGATCGTAATGATCCTTAACCTGATCTGGAGTAGTTAAAAGGAGCTACTTCCTGCAAACACTACCTTAAAACATCAGGCATGATATTTTGGAAATGTATTAGGAAAAACACTACATCTAACAAAATACTAGAGTATAAGTTGAACAAAGGTTTAATAGTTGGAAAAATTAATTAGTTAGTAAGCTCACATTGCATCAAAACAGATTTCAACATTTAAACAGAACATTTAAGCATTTAAACAGAACACAAACATACATAAAGTAACTTACGAGTGATTAAACACCGCGTCAGAGGTTTTGACAGAACACAAACATACATATAAAGTAGATTACAGGTGAACTAAAGCATTAACTAAAGCGCCTCCAACTATTTAAAAAAAACATATACAAAAACAAGTTTTATAGTGAGAAACATTTATCTGTCAAATCTTGTAAGTACCATATATCAAATGCATATTTTCAATAAAATTCTTGAATTAATTGCATAAACAACACCCTATTATTGAATAAAATTAATACAATCTTTACATTATTAATAAACTGCGGTTTTAAACATTTTAATTGCAAATTAGAATGTTTAAAACGAGTGTAAAAAAATTGCAAGTTAGAATGTTTACTAAAAGTATTTATTTTTTAATATTTGTAAACTCATCTTAACCTTTCATCAAAACACTTTTCAATTTGAATTAGCATGTTTTGTTTGTCATAGACTAGAACTGTAAAAACTTGTTAACATTGTTTACGTACATAAATTAGTTAACAATAAGGGTATATACATATATACTCATATGTTTGTATACAAACATGCATATGTTTAAAAACATGTAGTATGTTTATAAACAACGCCAAATCAATTTTTTAAATTAATTATTTAAATAAAATTATATAATTAGGTTAAAAATGGTTTAAATTAATAAGCATAAATTTAATAATAAAAAAGAGAATTTTGACAAAAAGTTAATTTTTTATGTGAATCTTTAAGCCGTTTTTAAACGCAAAAGACCTTTGTTATAAAAAATTTCATGGTACCAGAGGCTACAAATAGTCAAAAAAGTACAAGATTTATTTATATTACCATTATATGCCCCATTTTAACAGGGTTCAATTTTTTTTTTTTTTTTACATTCAAGATCAACTAGGTTACCTCAAGGTTTTATCCTTGTTCCTATTTCGTTTTTTATCTACTTTAACAATCTTCATGACAGTCTTGCATCTAAAATGGCTCTGTTTTCTGATAACTCAACTTTATTCTCCTGTCTTGAAAAAAAGTCTTCTCTTTTCGATGGCTAAGAACAGGTAGCCGATCTTGAATCTGATCTCATTTCTGTAACAGATTAGGACTTGCAAAGACTTAATTTTAAGTTCAACAAAACTCACTTATTTACTGCAAACAACAATTGCAATACTGTCAACATTCCTTTATTAACAAATGGCAATTCTCTTACCGAATCCTCTTTTTTACGTCTTCTTGGTTTAATGTTCACTACTGAACTCTCATGAAAACCATATATACAACATATATACATATATTTCATTCTCAACCACTACAAATCTTTTATCGCCCCTGTAGAAAAAACTGTTCCCATATTTGGTCTAGCTCCATTAATGATGCTCTTTCTCTTCTAGACAAAGTCCAATAACACATTGGACCCGCTCTATCTGCTAAGCTTGAGCCTTTTTCCCATCTTTGTAAAGTTACATTTCTTTCTCCTTTCTACAAATATTATCATGGTCACTGCTTAAATGAGCTTTCGTTTCTAGTTTCATTTAATAAAACTCATTCTTTCTTGAATCGTCATTCAGCAAAGTTTTATTTGTTTATTGAATCTGCCCCTGCTTGTTCTAAAAACTTTTACTCGTCTAGTTTTTTCCTCCGAACTTTCCTTCGGAACTTTTTCCCATCTTCATGTTTTCTTGACTCATAAAACATTCAACTTTTACAGTTTTCTATCAACGTTTCCTTGCTCTTTGACTCTTTTTTTCTTCTTCTAGTAAATCCCAATTTAATAGTAGTTTCTTGCAGCCTTGTTGGGAGTGAATCAGAATTAAAAAAATAAATAGTAATTCTTGCCTAAATTTGGATTTAAATTTAAAAAAATTGAATTAAAAAAAAAAAAAATTTAAAAACTATTTTAAAATAAAACATACCCCAGTGTAGTTGTAGTTACAACGGTAAACCACATAGCTTCTGGGATGCTATAAAATACTTTACTCTGTCGACGAAAGTTTTCAGCATAGTAAATAATTGTAGCAAACAACACTACTACAACGCAATAAACAAACACAATAAATCCAAGTTCTTTAATCGAGTGCACTAAAGCTGCTATTAGTTGTCTAAGTTGCTGCGAGTATCGTGCAAGTTTAAACACTCGGACAATGCGTATTGATGGAAGCGCAGCAAGAATATTGTTTGCTGTTTTATTTTTAATGTTTATATAACTTTGTACAAGCAAAATAAAAAAAGGAGCAATTGCTAATACATCGATAAACGAGATAGGACTTTTTATGTATGATAGTCGATTTGGTGCAGAGTAAACTCTTAATAGGTATTCTAATATAAAAAAACTAACGCAAAAACTGTCCAACTTAAAAAATAATTGTGTAAAAACAGCACCACATTTATCTTGCACAACGGTATTATTCAGCATTTTCTCGCATTGAACTGTTTCAGCTGACATGGTAATCATAGTAAAAATGATGACTAAGCAACTTACTATATAAAATGCTTTTGCTGGTAGAGAGTAAGTTGGAACTTCACAAAATAACCAACACTTTTCGCGAAACGTTTTTGGCTTGTTTTGATTTGTATCGATTTTGTTTACTTCGTCTTTTTTCTGAACACTTTTGTATTGAAAGTAATAATCACCACAGCAAAAAGCCAACTCTGTAGTTGGAATGCGGAAAAAAAGAAGCTCATCCGTAAATGCTTCGTAACAGTCGTTAGGTGAAAAGTGAAGCTCGCCTAAACGTATTTTTTTAAATGTAATCATACTTGCCCCCCAACATTCCTTAATCATTACAAAACACTTTATTTAAAAAGTTATTACTTTAAGTGTTTCCTATTATCATTTTTGCCTAAACCTTAAATAGTACTTACCTGTTTTGTAAAATTTGTATATAAATCTAAATATATGCGGATCTCTATCAAAAAAAAATTCGTTTTCTTCTTCATCAAAGTAAAAAAGACGCTCGTCACTCCCTAGTAACGTTTCTGGATGTTGTTTCATGTAACTTTCGTGTAAACGAAATTTAGCGCCACTTACGTTTATTGTGAGTTCGTTTCCAACAATATATGCAATCGGATCAACAAGTAATTGTTTCTTATTTTCATTTAAAATGCAAGATCGAATGGAAGCTTTTTTTTTAGCAATATATCTGGCAGTAGTGCAAGGCGAGTGCATTATCGAAATATGTACTTTAGAGTTAAGAAAAATTTTCTCTTAACCAGCTTAGTATTTTAAAAACTACATTTTTCTTTTTTTTTTTTTGAAATTACGTATTATTTGAAAGAAACTTTTGATTTTTTGTATAATTTTATTGCATATTTTTTTTATTTTCAGGAGACGTTAAATTTTTCGGTCAAAAACAAAACTCGAATTAAAATTAATTTTTAAAATTTCCATTTTCTCTTTTGAATATTTATATTACTGTTATGTATCTGAGCAGATGTTTCTTCTGCAGATTATTAATTTTTTACAATAGAACTTGAAAATATAATATCCGCAATAAAAATTAAATAAGCAAAGTAAATTTGTTTACTGAGAACGTTTTTTTTTCTGAGAACGTTTTTTTATCGTAGGAAGAAACCTGAAGTTTAACTTCTTTAACTTCAATTTTCAGCTTCATCGCTTTAAATCTTTTTTCAACTTTAATTTTTATATATCGTTATAATTCAAACAGATGCTACGTATATTGAAGTAATTTTAATAAGGGTACGGTGTTTATACTTTGTACAGGCGCCCTTATTAAGCTTCGATCAAAACTTATTTTAATTATTTGTTCAAATTTTTACCAACATTATCAAATTTTTTGATCAAATTGTTACTGTAGTTTTTAATTACTATGTTGTTTATTGTTGTTATTAACTGTTATTATTGTTGTTATTAACTGTTATTATTGTTGTTATTGAAATTTTGTCATTATTTTTTTGATCTTATTCATTTATTCAGAAAACATTAAAAAACAAAAATAAAACTTAAAACTATTTATAACTTTTGGTTTGTAAAACCTAAAAATCTAAAATGACTGTAAACTTTGACAATGCATTTGAATATTTGGTAAATACTCCATCACTATTAAAAAATAAAACTGTGTCTGTCTAAATCTTTTAGAGATTGTAAAATCGCTATTAAAACATTTTTGAGTCAAGTGATAAAAAAGTGGTCACACAACTTATAACTCAACTCTGAAATAAGTTATTGTATAATTTTTGCTTAAATGAATCTGAAAAAGGAATTACTATAAAAAATTTGTAATCCACAAAAAATGCTGATTAAAGCGTGATATTCAAAGAGAATAGAAATTTCATTTAAAACATAAAGCAACAATTAATATATTCGTAGTTATTTATTTACTTTCTAAGAAACTTTATACTGTTATGTATACTAAACCGAGGTAATATAAATTACCAAACAGAGGTAATGTCAATTGTCAAACTGAGAAAATAAATTACTAAACAAAAGTAATATAAAATAATATCTAACATAAATTTTTAATCAGCGGTAAAATAAACTGCCAAAAAGAAGGTAAATTACCAAACTTAGGTAGTGTAAATGATAAAACAAAAGTAGTATAAATTGACCTCATTCAAAAAAGAACCTTGTAATGAAGTCTGAATGAATGTCTAAACTAATTGATAAAATAATTTATTTAAACTAAAAATTATATAGTTATGATCCTCCACATAAGACCCCTCCCCCCTCCCCCCGTTTATTAACATTTACTTGTTATTAACAAAAATCATCTCAAGACGAAAAAAACAATAACCGAAAATAATATATGTGACCAATGGTCAATTTATTATAAGTGCAAATATGACTAGAGTTCGGACTTCTTCTAATTGTAAAAATTAAATACAATAACACATTACTATTGTATTGTAATACAAGAGATGTAATCAAAACATTATTTATTGTTATTGTATTGTATAAAAATACTGTATTGCTGTAATGTAAAACAATTACAAAATCGTTTGTATTGTATTGCTGGGATAAAAAACAATTACAATTAGTGTGGTGTATTGTATTACTATTTTAAAGTTCAATAGCTATTGTATTTTAAAACATTTAAATTCTTTTTCCGCGCATTTATTATTATTTGGACGCTAGAAAATTTAGAGTCTTTTTTAACAGTCATTTATATTTATAAATTTTATTTATTTTGAGAAGTAAAGTAAGCCAAGGAAAGCTAAAGAAGCATATATATTACGTATACTTAATAAATATGAAGCTCAGGGGCGCTTGTGGCACCCGTTTCTGGCAACCATTTACATATATAAACTTTATTTTGAGTTCAATAATATAACTGTTTAAATAATAATTAATTTAGAATTAACATTAACAATATTCATTCAAAATCATACAAATATATAACTTATCATGTGCTTGTAATTAAATAATTATTTACTTTGTGAAGTGAAATTTTTGGTTTTTTAAAATTTTTGTCTAAACTGATATTGAAATGTTTCACAGGTTGATGAAGTCTAAACTAATTGATTAACTACATAAACTGCAGTCGCTTTTCAAAACACCTTAAAGTAAAAAAAAACCATTTTGACTTTTTTACAAAATAAGCAAGTTTAGATGTCTACAAATCTTATTGAATACATATTTTCAAAGAGTTCTGAAAAAATTCATAAAAATTATTCGTTTCAAAAAACGTTTTAAGGCGATCCGTTTTTTCACGGGAACGGGAAAGGGACGGGAAAAATAATCACATGGGCATGCGTAGTATAAGTTTTAATATGTCAGAAGTAAAACTACGCATGCTCACGTGATTATATTTCCCGTTCCTATCCCGTTCCCGTGAAAAAACGGATGAGTGGAAACTCACCTTTACAAAGACTTTCTCCTAATAATTTTTTTTTATTGCGTTTTTCTCGAAATACGTAATAAGCATATTAAGGCGTTTTGAAAAACGGCTGCGGTAAAACGCGTGAAAATAATTTCTTTTTCCCAATATAATTAACCGCTAATGTGTAATAAATTACTGCGTTAAGGAATCAGAGAACATTGACCTAGGCAATTATCGACTAGATTGTCTAAAAATATGAACTACTTTTGTTTTTCAAAAAAATTTTCTATATTTTCAGATTCTTCATCACCTATCAAACCGTACCAGTAAATTTTTGAAAAATGAGGCAGTTTAGAATACCAAAGAAATATTGTTTATTTAGATTTATGTAACAAAATGCTTGTATAACTTTACAACTAGATTCAAAAGTCCTGTTACTTTATGAAACACATACAGCCATAAAAGCCTCAGGGAAACATAAGACAAAGTTATATTAGAGTAAGTGTTAGTTGAGTAAGTTTGGAAACTATTGAATGTGCCTAATATAAAAGCTAATAAATAAGTGGAAGAAATGGTAGTAACTGATCATCTATCCCCAGCAATAAAAGAAGTAGAGGTCAGATCAAACTTACTTTTATAGAGCTATATGAAGTTTGCAACGAGGACAAGTGATATACTCATTAAATAAAATAGAACCAATAATTATATGTACCCTATTTCAAGGTCACATATCTCGAAGACTGGACTGTTAAAACATTTATTAAATTTTGACATTACAATAATTTTTATTATTACAATAACAATAAATGTTATTGTATTATAAAGATGAATTACAATACACTAATTATTGTTTTTTTAGTGTGTCATTACAATACTTTTTTTTTTCCAGATAGTTATTGTATTATGAAGAAGAATTGCAACTCAATATTTATTGTTATTGTATTACAGTATTAAAATAATTGTAAATCACAAGTATTGTTATTGTTTCTAAAAAAGTTATTACAATAACAATAGTTATTGTTTCTGTTATTGATTTCATTACAATTGCAATAGTCCGAACCCTAAATATGACATTTTGCAGGAGAAGACTTTAAAAATTGATTTGTTTCCAAAAATATAGTTATAATGAAACCTAAATTATTTTTCAGAAAAATAAATTATTTTTTTTAAAACTACAGCAATCATAATTTGACCAAATGAAAAATTTAACGAAATATAACAAAACTGCATACTTATCTCAAAATCTAACGAAATATAACAAAACTGCATACTTATCTCAAAATCTAACGAAATATAACAAAACTGCATACTTATCTCAAAATGACCAATTTTGAGATAAGTATAATCATAAATTGACCAATGGCCAAAGCTAATATCGGTCATAACAATAAAAACTTTTAATTTAATCAGGCTTTTAAAATTTTAAGACCTCTAAAAAATTTCGTAAATTTTGATTTTTTTAAAAGTTAGGTTTTCTTTTATTTTCTAGCATAATATAAAACTTATGTAAGCATATTCCTATTGAAATTATCAAGCAGCTGTTAAAAATGGGCATTTGATTGCAAGCCACACTAGAATTAAATTGTTTTACTTGTGTTCTGTAAAAAATTTCCGCTCACCTTTTTATTATGACCTTTCCGTCTATTAGATCTGGACTAAAAAATCCCCTCCCCCATTAAGCACGCGATAGTAACAGCTTCAAGCCGAAAAGCAGTTAGCCAAAAATTAAACATTTATTACGCCGATAAATAATGGTAGTTTATTGCTGTTAATTAATGGTAGTTTATTAATGGTTTATATATATATATATATATATATATATATATATATATATATATATATATATATATATATATATATATATATATATATATATATATATATATATATATATATATATATATATATATATATATATATATATATATTGGAATCTATACAAGTTTATCGGAAATTATCTTATTACCCAGCTGATCAATATATTAGGTGAAAATCTTTCAAAGTAATGAAAAGTTTTAAATAGAACTTTTTAAATATAACAAAGATTAATATAGATTTATTTATTTAGGTAAGTATAAAGCTTTACAATTTACTTAACATTGTGATATTTTTAAAATTTCGCATCACAAAATAATAAATATTAAATGTAAAATAAAAAATGTATTATTACCATATTTTAAATGAATATACAAAACTATATAAATATGATCAACCAAAATGTTTTAGTGAAGAATAAATTTAAGTTACTTTTTGAAAATAAATAGTTTTTATTTTCTTTTATTTTCGTTTCCATATAGTTGTACTTTATTTTTATATAGTTGTACTTTATTTTCGTTTCCATAGTTGTACTTTATTTTTTTTTTCGTATTATTGGATTCTGTGAAAACGTGGTTTCCAAATCAGGTTCTATTTTTACTCTTGTCGCATTAACTAATTCACTTTTCATGTCATTCGACTCTGTCAAACTTGTCGGAATATCATTAGCTTTATCACAAACATAAAAAAATTGTAAAAGAAATATCCATTAAAAATACTATTTTTTATTAAATGTTAGGGGAGAGTGAGGAAAAGTGGGACGCGGAAGAAGTGCGACAGCCTGAAATTTCATTTTAGGAGTGGTGCCTAAATACTGTTATTTAATGTAAACAATTAAATTTCTTACCCTCTATCTAGCAGAAATTACTTTGTTTCCCTGCGTGCGCTAGAAGCCCTAATTTTAAAATGTACCTTTAAAAAATGTTTACATTAGGGTGAAGTGGGACAGAAAAAATAATCACACTTATCCCATTTTACCCCGATCGCACGGTTTCTCTAAAAGAAAAAAATTCATAAACTTAGTTATAATTGGCTGGAAACCTAAGGGGATTGAATCGGTGCCTAAAAAGAAGGCTTATTCGTAAAAACTTATTTGGTTTAGTTTATACATCAAACAAAAAAGATATTGCACTTAGAGTAAAAATAAAATTTACCTGCCTTACTTCTCCCCACTCTTCATTATTTATTTTATAAATAACATTATTCGTTTTTCAAAAGAGGTTATCCATTAAGAATATCCGCTTTTTAAAGTTCAACTTATTCCTTCGTAAAACGGCTATGCTTGTAAAATAGTTGGAAAGAGGGGGAGGCTTAGAGGGGGAAAATAGAAAAAAGGAATGGTATTTGGTATATTTGGGAAAAAGAGAAACAATTAAACATATTTGCAATAATATCTGTTTACTTAACGTATAGAATTACTTTAATTAACACAGAAGCATAATGGCTTTAACCTGGCACTTTAAACTTAACTTATCGATAATAATAAAACAAAAAATACTATATGACGTCACCCCTATGACCCATGTTCCCACTATATTAATAATAAATTCTATTTATTTTAATATATTTACCTCTCCAGGTCAAATAAAAGCCACTACACTCAAGGAGACCTTTTAGTTTTTGTATGTATTTGTAATATTATTGTTACGACTCCGAATTAAGAACCTTTACAGAAAATACCACTGCGAGGGAAAACATCAGTTAGTTAGGTGCTCCAAGAAGTCCTAACGGTGTTACTATAGAGTTCCGTAGAGAATTGGATTTAACTAGGATGTTCACGCCTACTTTTAAATGATGACCAGAGCCAGTTTTAAACCACGA